GTATCATAAATTCCCAAAAGATGAGATGCATTTTAAAAAAGAAGAAGAAGAAGAAAGAGGAGAGACAGATTAATCTAACACATAGAAAAGGATGAGGCTAATCAGAGAGATAGCATCACGGCGTGCGGTGATATGTAAAGTGCGTGCACCAGTGGTCCGGCCAATAAACTCCTTCTAATGTCAAATAGAGCTTATATTAGTTGCAGCGGAAAACGTGTAAATACGTCTCATTCCCTGCGCTCTGTCTCTATCAACCTGCGGGATCCTCCCCACCCCCCACAAATGATGCATTAGATGCATTGAATGTATTTGTTGTGCAAGTTTGAAAAGGCGGCGATAATCTGGGAGTGAGAGATAAGGAACACCAATTTATTCAGCAGCACTTTGGACCCCGCTTCCAGCCTCGGTCGGTGCTGACACCCCCAGCAGTTTGCTGATAACGATTAGGCCATTTATTATCTTCACAGAGAACAAAGATTGCGCGGTGCCGATGAAATATTACCCCTGGTAATAATCAGAAGGAGAAGGACCCTGGCATCTAATGCAGTGTGCATATAATATCTCCCTGACGAAAGCCGTGCACACACACACACACTCGCGCGCACACACATACACACGGAGTATGTGCAGAACGCACAGAGAACGCATTAACAAAACAAATACTATTTATTAAATATTGCTAAATATTTATTATAATATTAAGTTTTAGTGAATTTGAAACATTCAACTTATTGGAAAAGTAATAATAATGATGTATTTGAGAGACATTAAAAAAATACAACTACCGAATAAATTGTAACTGTTGTTAAAAGACACATATGTGAACTCACATTTATTGGGTTTGCATTATCAACTTAATAAAAATACACAACGTTGTTTAGTCCACAACAACTCGCTAAAATAACCTAAAATAAGCCAACAGTTTTCAGATTTAAAATATTAAAAACAAATAAAACAAAAAAGAATGCTTTATTTCAAAACCGCAAAACCTTATACTTTTAGACTGTTAAGAGTCCAAATAATACCGAGAAAGTATAAAAAGTGCTTATGTTAGCCTATTGGCGTCTATTATTCGTGCCTCCAAGCTTTTTGCTCTGACGAGTCCAAACATTAAAACAAATGTTTACCAATTCAGCAATTCAGTCAGACTTCACGTTTTCTTTTCTCTTCCCTTTTGTTGCATGTGTGTATGTGTGTGTGTGCGCACTCTGGGGAGCACGGGCCCCGAGTTGCAGAGGTCCTCGCGCCCCTTGCACCTGCCTGGCTTCGGCGCAACGCACGAGCCCAGGTCGCGTGCAAGAGATTTTAGAGGCTTTGCATGTTTTACAAAGTTGTTGTTGCTGTGTGGGACATAAAGCACACACAGACATTTAAAAAAAACGGGGTGGAGAGGGAGGGATGGGTATTTTTCTTTCTTTTTTTAACATGTTTAGCTCAGTGTTTTGGGCGGGGGGTGGGGGGGGGGATTGTTTCTCTCAAATCAAATATCTCAGTAAGTCAATTAGGACCGAGGCTCTCGGTCTATCCGAGTTGTTACAAAAAGCGAAAAGAAAACAACAAGAAAAGAAGATAGAGCATTTATTATCACTAAAAAGTAGCTTTTAAACTTTAATTATTGAGCAAGGAAAGCTTTAGAAAGAGCACCGTGCATTTCCCAGCTATGCAATTTCTAAGTTCACTCCCCCGGTCACAAGCCTCAGGTTCAGCCCCAAATTAATCATAATGACTGCGCAATATGCAGCTGGGACAAGTTGGGTTCGGGGACTCTGCTCGCTCCCTTGGTGGCTCCAACATCTAGCGAAGTTCTTTATTTCCCTGCATGTATGTAGACCATGTATTAAATCCACAGGCTCAGGTAAGCAGCACATCAGTCTTTCAGGGCAGAGCTCACAGTGACCTCGAGGAACGTTGATATACATTTTAAAAACAAAAGGATGAAATGCTGAAAAGCACGTGAGACACAAGCTATCCTAAAGTATGTTGAGAACCTCTCGGGGACAGGTACCGCTGCCAGTTTTTTGTATTTAACCAGGACCCGGAAGACAGGCTGCTGGCTGACGTGCCATTACGCTGCTGTGTGCCCGCAGCCTCTCACACAGGCACACAAGTTTTTTTTTCTTCTTCATTTTTTTTAATGCTCATATTCACAGAGGTTTGGACAGAGCGAGAGTAGAGGGGGGATATTGCGCGCAGACACTCACCGCTCTCCGCTCCGTGACGACACAGCACACAGAGCAGCGACCATCAGGCCACCGGGTTTTCCATTTAGTCTCGACAGCATCATAAAAACGGGGCAGATCTGGACACCTCTTCGGTTTGGTCGTTCATTTTGCACCGTTATTATTATTGTTATCATTTGTTTTTGGAGGAGGAGGAGAAGGAGGGGAGGGTAGAGAAGACGCGAAGCTGCGCAGTGAATCAGATGGTTCCACTTTCTCCGGTTTGACTTTGTCTGCTGTTCAAGACTGGTGGAGGTAAGCCAATTACTGCGTTTTTAAACTATCTGAACTTTAAAATATTATTTATGATTTTATTTTATTTTTATTTGATATTTTGTAATTATATGTGAGGCTATTCAAAGTAAGGTACTGGTAATAATAATTGTATACAGGCTCAGCATAAAAAAAGAAAAACGGTTGCTTGTGCTATATTTTCATGGCTATCGAGGAATAAAGTACACTGATCGCACGTGCACTCTTTATGAACTCTTTATTTATAATTATACATCCCCACTGTCACAGATATTTGGATATTAGGCCAAATATAACCCTCCGCAACATCTCTAAAGCGGTACAGTGATATTATATGTTTGATGCAGTCATACGTTGTAATGTACTTTATCATTCATTACTCATATTATTATTCATCATTATTATTCATATTCACTGGAAGCGCGCTGTTTTTCTTTTAATTTCTACAGCACCGCTTGTTTTTCCCCGAATGATCGACCAAAAAAGTTCAAGATTAAGTCCGGGTTAACAAAACGGATGTATGTGTGCCATAGCTTCTTAAAATAAATAAATAAATAAATAAATAAATCCTTTTTAATGTGGCTCACTTTTCGTGTTGCCGTGGGCAGGGTGTTCTGCCCCCGAAAAAAGAAAAAGAAAAAAGAAACTAAATTGTTTAGTGTATCATCAGCGAGATATTAGTGACGACAAAGGTATTCAATTGTCACGCTTTAAAACGCATAATGACTCGAGTAACCCTCTTTGATCAGTAGAAGGAGCAATCACATCACTACACTGGCAGAGCTGAGACAGGGGGAGGGCTGGTGCGTCTCCGCAGGCACGCAGGAGTGCCTTTCTTTTTCTTCCACCCTCTCTTACCTGTGCTGCTGGGTCTGCTTTATGTGTGCATGATTTAAGAGGCATGGCGTGATTGTGTGTGACTATACAAAGGGGTTTTTTCCTTCCCACTGTCACCAAGTGTTTGCTCATGGAGGCTCTGCGTTACCACGGGGTCTCTCCCTTACAATATAAAGGCAACTGTTGTTAAGATTTGGGGCTGTCTAAATAAAGCTGTGAATTGAATTGAAATGATTACAGCAAAGAACAGTGGCATGAAGATGGAGTTGTGAGTAAACACTGTAAGAGGTCCAAATGTGTTTTTTTGTTTTGTTTTGTATTTATAGCTCCAATAAGTGGTTTTGACTGTAAAACTAGGTTCACCTTGCGGTCCGTAATCACTTTTTGTTGAGTGTGTGCAGTCCATGTTAATGTCCTACCCGCTTTTTCTGAAATGTCATTATTTTGATTCAGAAATGACTTAAATGGGAGACTGTGCTGCTCTTAGGCTCCCTCTCTCAGCAGTTATATGGTGGGTGCTTGTGTCTATAAAGCCCCCCACCCACCCACCCAGTGCCCTGGCTCGATCTAATTAGCCGTGAGTAAAGGGGACAATAATGCTTCAGCTGGTTTCTGTCATTCTCTTCTCTCTGGCTCTGCTTATCTTCACAAGCCCCACAGTGGCTCTTCACACCCCCATCCCCCCAAAACACATACACACACACATAGTTGGGCACACAGTCACACACCTACACTGGATAATGATGGATGACCGTGCCCAATGGGAACAAACAGGTAGATAAAGCCAATCCCATTTAATAACAGCATGGATCGGAATGATAATCTTGTTGTTCATTAGCCACTGTGGCTGCACGGTGATACAGTTGTTGCACACAGTTCTCGCCCAGCTCAGGAGGCGTTGTGCGAGGGGACGCGTTCTCCGCTTTTTGGATGGCATCGCCGGGTGAAACAATACTGCTGTGTCCTTGAGAAAGACAGAGGGAAAAGGCAACAGCAACTCCCCCACCCCCTGTCCTCTCCCACTAACCCTCCATCACCCTCTCCCATCTTTTTGTTCCAGCAAAGATACAAATGGGATTAATGAAGGTATAAATTACAGAGGGGGTAAATCCTGCTGAGTAATCCATTTGGCAAACATGCAAACAACAATGGGAATACTACAGCAGCTATCCTGAGCCTGACTCACTCTCCCAGTGGTTAACACAGCCAGAATGCAACACAGACCGGCAAGTCTGAGCCACAGTGTGCAGTGTCCTTTCACTGATGGCTACAAGATCAAGAGCATCGCTGCATACTCACTGACGCTCAAACAGAGGGAGTCCTTGTTGCTTAGGGTTCAAGCATGTGACAGCAATTACTGTGCGGCATTAAATTGTGCGTAATTGGTGCAGTATTGTTGATTGATGCAGTGTAAATTACAACACAATATTTGTCACTGACAATTAATAAGCATATTAAGGTAGACTTCACTCCACCTGCCAACTGTGGCTTCTTTTCCACTGGAATGTCAGTTATTGGAGTCGCTGGCCCTCTGCTGCCACACATGTTGTAATTTGTTGATTTTAGGAGTTGACAAGCTCAAAGGGCTGAGCTCATCAACTCGCTGCCTCTGGCAACATGCCCGAGATTTAATGACTGATGACTGACACACACACACACACACACACACACACACACACACACACACACACACACACACACACACACAGAGGCGCGCAGTTATACTGCAGGTATGACATCAAACGTGATTATCGCCTAAATGACCTGTGCCGTGTCATCACGGCAACCCCCCGCAGGCCCCCACCCACACTGCTCAGCTCCTAGTTAGATTTTGTGACGTTGGATCCCGGCGTCGGCGTGGCGGCCAGTCTGTTCAGGGCACCTTCCAATTACTCCTTGTCAATCACACAAACGCAGCGGCAGTGCACGTAGATCTACTTGCGCACAAATAACAGCGCATGTGCTGCTCATTTTACGCACGCTTTCAATAAACAAAGAAATAAATACAAGAAAAAATATAATTGGACAGAAACGCATTTTTTCCCTTTTTGTCTAAAGATTAAATAGCCCGCCAGGTTTCATTTTTGTTTTTGTGGGCAGTTTGTGAATGAGCGCATCGGGAGACGCTCTGACTGTCACCCACTGACTTTTCGTACCTTACGTGCAACGTGAGGCCTTGCGCCTATCCCCTTTTGTCTGGCCAAATTATCAACGGGCGTCATTAGAAATGCAAACTATGTTTTGATTGCTCTGCCCCCGAGACAAAAACCACTGTTTTCACAAAAGGAATGTCGTGCTACTAATTAAAGACAATTAGGCGCTCCCAACAATGGGAGGGGGGCAATTCGGGGTCATAAATCGACTCCTCCTCTGTTGGTTTAAGAGGTGCTGAAATTGCTTTTTGTATTTACATGGGGAAGACAACAATCAAAATACTTACGCTTATTGCTAGTAATAAGGATTGATATGCAGCTTTAACCGGTCAACTGTGGCATAAAACCAAAAGACATTCGCAAGTGGGTGCGAATTTTAAATATCACCCACAAGTATTAAAAAAAAGAAAGGTTTAACAATATTTTGTAAATGGGTTTATAGAGAGCAAGGGGAGCTACGCCTGCATGGGTACGTTGTAAAAAGCTAACACTGGGCCATATATATTAAGGTGTAAATTTCACACATTGTTAGGCTCTGTCTTCAGCCCGTCGCTAAAAAGGCAGATTATCAGAGGTCGATTGCTCATTTCGCTTGAGATTCATGAGCGAAAAAAAAAGATCCCCGAGAAATTACACTGCTGATTGATAAGTCTTTTAGTTTTTCGGTGCAGGAAAATGAAAATTGAAAGAAGGAGAGCAGGGACGCATTTAGCCAATTGCGGCAGTGCCCGCTATGATTGGTCCAGACCGACGCCCCGCCCCCCATGGCTTGATATGGGAATTTACTGGCGCCAGCCGCATCAGTCTGCCCCACATCTCATTAATGCGCCTGAGCACTGCAAGGATCAAGAGGTTTACACATCCAGGGCTCTGTATACCATCAGCTGATCACAACTGCAACAGGTATCCAGAGGAGACATTTAAGTGTTTTCTTTATGCGGATACAGGATGCGTTGCTTCGACTTGGAGACAGCGATGTCTTGTTTTTTCCGACTTGTAATGGCAGGAACCCTAAATTGTGCAAAGTTTACTTCACGTGTCACCCGCTATAATTAGATAAAAAACGAAGGGTGCTTCGATTTTGCATGGAAGGAGAGACGTGTCGTTAAACTAATATGTTGCTTTCGTCTCTTTGCAGGTATCCCAGAGGAGAAGGAGGGAGAGCGAGTTATTTAAGGATTCTATTTCTGCTGTAAATCACAGTTCAGGAACTATATTTTAAGGAGGAATCGACTTCCACTTGGAGGCAAATAAAGCCTAAACAGAGAGGCATTCAAGGGGAGAGGGAAAAAAATAGAGACTGTCAGCTCAGACATGGAGGTCGCAGCGGCAGATCAGTCTCGGTGGATGGCGCACCATCATGCTGTGCTGAACGGTCAGCACCCGGACTCTCACCACCACAGCCTGAGCCACAACTACATGGAGCCCATGGCGCCTTTACTGCCGCAGGACGAGGTTGATATGTTTCTGAACCACTTGGACTCTCAAGGGAACCCCTACTACACCAACTCCCGAGCAAGGGTCACCTACAGCCAAGCACACGGTAAGATGCGCTCAAGTTTACGATCACCAAGTGTGAGGCCAGATAAGATAAGATGTCTGAAAATATAATATAAATAAAATTGTATTTTAAAAATCCATTTATAGATCCATGTTTTAAAAGAGTCGTATAATACCATAATTTTAATGTGTGTGTGTGTGTGTGTGATATTAAAGGCTAATGATTTTTGTGTGTACAAAAGCTTATTGCCAGCCTAACAACAAAAGCCTCTGCAGCAATTAGTTAGAAAAAGTCCTTCTTGACTTTCCTGGGTCAATTCACCAACATAAAAGGAATTTCTAACAAATGACAGCAAGAGGAAAGGGAAGTATGTCACTTAACCCCTCTCTGTTGGGGCAGGAGTTTCTGGAGGGAGAGAGGCACTTCCCGGATATAAAATAAAAAGCGCAAATTTACTAATAACAACCTTTAGTCCGAGAGCTGCTGCGGACGAAAAGATAATGCCCAGACAAGGAGCGCTGTTTATTTAACACTTTTGTAGGCTTTCATAATGCTATATCGGCTGCTTTCATTTAATGGAAACTATTTGTAGAGAGGTTACTTAATTTCGATTTTTAAAAAAAAATCTATTATTTAAAATCAACTACGAATATTTTATCTACATCTGGAGCTAAATGTCGGATTTGAGAAATTCAGGGAATTTAACAGGTAAGATTTTTTTTAACTGAGTTGTAAACTAATGATAAGACTTATGAATTACTGAGAAATTAAAGCAGAATACAGCCATATTAAATAGACTGTTATGGTTTTCAGCTCGCCTCACTGGGAACCAGGTCTGCCGGCCACACCTCATCCACAGCCCCGGTATTCCCTGGCTGGACCCCGGTAAAGCAGCTCTGTCTGCTGCACACCACCACAACGCATGGGCGGTCAGCCACTTCAGCAAACCCGGCCTTCACCCCGCCGGCTCCGGCTACCCCTGTAGTAGCAGCACCGGCACCGCTCCGGTGTCTTCGCTCACTCCAGCGTCGCATTCCAGCCCACACTTGTACAGTTTCCCCCCTACCCCTCCCAAAGACGTGTCCCCGGACCCCGGCCCTACCTCTCCGACCTCCACCTCAACCAGGATGGATGAGAAAGAGTCGATAAAGTACCAAGTGCCGCTGACGGACGGCATGAAAATGGAGAGCTGCAGTCCGCTCCGCAGCGGCCTGGCCTCGATGAACAGCCAGGCCCCAGCCACGCATCACCCTATCCCAACCTACCCGGCCTACTCTCTCTCTACACCCCACGAATACGGCGGCAGTCTCTTCCATCCCGGCAGCCTGCTCGGCGGGTCCTCGTCCAGCTTTACGCCCAAATGCAAAAGCAAAGCCAGATCGAGCTCAGGTGAGTCTCACGTGTGTTTTGAGCCCCCCTCCCCCCTTTTTCTCATCAGATGGCAGATCAAATCGATAAGGCCTAATTAAATGGTTATGGTTTATTCAGCTGAGCGGTGAAGCGTTGCGCAATATAGGTTAGTTTACACAACCAATCATCGGTTGATGAATATTTCATTGGTCTCCATGTAAAGGTGATATTAGTATTTCCACTATGGTGTGAGCATCATTTTATTCTTTTATTTTCTCTTTCATTTATTCCCAGGTGTAATTACATTTATCAATTTCTTAATGCTTGTATTATGTAAACTTCGTGGTTCAGACTTGTTGCTCCAGTGAGTTGCTTATACGAAAAAAGAGCGATAATTTCCACATCGGACACTGTCAAGTCTTATTTCACCCATTACACTTTTTTTCATACTTGTGTGATTCATTCTCTTAAAATGTCAGTGTAATCGAGGCGAATAGGCAAAAAATAGAGAACGAAAGTGGGATTAAATAATTTTTGGGACTGACTGGTTATTCATATGTATATGTTTTTACATATAAATAACAACTAAACGATCCATATAAACTGGTTAAGTATATGTTTTTAAAAAGAAGTGAAATAATTTAGCCGCTTTTTGAGCAGAGAGAAAAAAGTCCAACACTGACATTTTTTTACACACTAACTTTACATTCAGACGCCACACCATCAACGGTGCTCAGGCAGGTACATGTTCGTGCCACAGGCTTGTTTTCTTTTAAACGTGGCCTTTATTGCGCTTAAAAAACGAGGGAGTCACGACGCCCTGGCTCCTGCCATATCCTGTATACCTCCAAGTGAACAAATCACGACCTCCACCCCGCCCACCGCTCTCCCCAGCACTAACAAAGCACAGGCGACAGAGCCCTGCTGTTTGTGTTTTTAAGCACGGCCTTGGCCCGCTGTGCTGACATGAAGTGGAGGGGCGAGCAAGTTCACAGCAGATCTGATTCTCCGTGAAGATGAGAGTGCATTCTGGTGCAATGAGCAACCATGGATTTTTAAAAAAGGACTCAAGCAGTTTCCCATTTCCCCTTAATTTTAAAGACATTAAAATGTTCATAATAAAGCAGCATATTTTCTGACTGTCTGGACAGGATTTTGATTCAATATGCTGCATGTGCTGGGAGTCAAATTTAAGGGGGGATACTTAGACTTTATGCCTGACACTAATGGGCAGACATTTGAAAAAACAACTCAGCCTGCTTAATGAGTGTGTAATTTCCCTACATTGTTCCAGCTGTGGTGCACTGAGTTACTGGACAAAAGAAAGAATGGACGTGAAATAACAAAAAATGCAGTGTGTTAACAAATTGTTCCAAATGTAGCTTTGCAATTATCTGCATTGTCATCCTTTGTCGCCGTGCTTTTTAACACACCTGGGGAATGCTCGGTGCCTGATAATACTGAGCGAATATGAGCTGTTGTGGTGGAGAAATGTTATACTGTGACATTTAAAAGAGCCTGACCAGACTGTGCCTGAATCAGCAACACAAACATATCTGCCACGACGTTAGAAAAAGAAAAAAAAGGCTCTTATCTATCAAAGTCAATGTCCAGTGCCAGTAATTGTGATTGATTGTTGGACAAAATGCCACAATGACATTTTCTCTGTCAGCACGAATACCTCACGGTACGGCTTCCTGTTGAACTGGCCCTCAAACCCACAGCTCCTTCCCCTCGTGCAGCTCACCTTATGCACGGAGCTGTTTCGCCTTCCCATTTGTTTTTCGTATTTCAACACTGAACATTGTGCAAGGCAAAAAGTTGTAAGTCATTGTGGGCGAATATGTAAAACATATTAATGAGACTGCTTGTGTGTGGTCGCTTGACTTGTGAAATTCTTTAAGGGGAAGAGAAGGGAGGTACGAAAACACAAGAAATGCATTTCAAAAGGAACCTAGCCTTTTTTTCCCTTTTTGCTCAGGTCAGGTCCTATTGTGGTGCAAGGGTGGGACTTTGGGTGTCGCTGGCATTATAACAGAAATAATGAGGTGATGCTCTAGGGAGAGGGGAACACCTGAATTAAATGAGCTTTGGTTTAGCAACAGGCTGTTTGAAGTCAAACCTGACGGGGGAAGAAAAACTTGTGGGAATAGTTTTTCTTTAAGCAGCTTTTTGTACAGAAGAGAATGCGCACACACAGGACACAGACTATTGATCCAGTCACCAAGAATGATAGAAACTATATTACAACTTGTGCTGATACAATGCTGTCTCACTGCTGTTTCTGACACCAACCAGCACGCAAGCTTCTCATCAAACACTTTCCGACACATTTAATACCACCTACACACACTTACTTTCCTCTCGTGGGTGCCCACTAAGCTGATCAATAATGTAGGCTTAATTTGATGGTGTGTCTCACTCTTCTTGTTGGACACCTCTGGACATGTTCTGGCTGTCTGTGGCCTCCCCACTCCAGATCAATTTACATAGAGGTGTCTGTGTCCTGGGCAGCCGTGCACACTTGGTACACCTGCACACTGATATGGATGTTTGTCACTACCCCAATTTTTGACTTCATATTACAAGGCCATCTGAGGTCATGCACCACTCTACTATAACTACATGACCAGGTTGTGCTACACAGCTGCTATATGCTGCTCCACAAAGAGGGGGGAACTTTTTAATTATATAAAATTTCCTTTTGTCTCCTCCTCTTGAACTATATGCAGAGGGCCGTGAATGTGTAAACTGTGGTGCCACGTCCACCCCGCTGTGGCGGCGGGACGGTACCGGCCACTACCTGTGCAACGCCTGCGGACTGTACCACAAGATGAACGGCCAGAACCGACCACTTATCAAGCCCAAACGGAGACTGGTGAGTCCTACATCTCGCTCCATCCCCTCACTCTGAGAGAAGGCACCCAAATATGAGCACAAAGCAGATGCCGGCAGCACAATTCCAGGAAAGTTATATTTTCCCTATGATCTTCCTGGAATTGTTTGTCCCTCTCACCCCCCGATGATCCGCCTTCATGGCCTGTTACAATACTGCTACTATTGCCATTGTTCCTGCTATCATTATTGCTGGTACTTCTGATACTGTTACTGATACCAATGCCCATGCTGCTTTAGTTAACACCATGCTTGAGTAAATGAAAGGCAGCAATGACAGAGAGGAATCCTGTGGTGGCTGTGCCATGTTGCAGAGCTGCTCAGTCTTTATTCACAATAAACCTGCTAAAAACGGGTCTATCTATCTATCTATCTATCTATCTATCTATCTATCTATCTAGTATGCTTTATATATATTTTGTTAAAATATTTTATAGATATAATTTGTAATCAAATTGCATAATAATAATAATAATAATAATAATAATAATAATAATAATGTGCCGATTTATATTAATTAAGGTATTAAAAAAATAAGGTCTAAACTAATAAATTGTTTTGAGCTGCGTAACCTTTGACTTCGTTCACACACCCTCATTATGATGGCTCTGATGGTCTTCATTAACACTTTCTGCTAAATTCGAAAAATTCCACCGCATTTTTTTTCCTGAAATACTAAAACTCGTTTTTGAAATGATCGTTTTTCGTGTTGTTCCTTGACGATTTCCACGTCGTTCCTATTCGTAAAAGAGAAAAAAAAGTCCATTACATTTTCCACTGGGTCGGCCCATGTGGCTGTAGCTTTTGCATTTTCAGCTCAAGTGTTTTTCAGAGTTGTGTTCAAAGGGGCATCCAGTTGTTTCCTATCCGGATATCTGGCCGGCCCAGATAAGGAAGTCAGGCTCCCGGCTGTTTCCGCCTTCAACCAGCGCTCTGCATTCTCTATGGCTAGACTGACATATACTATAAAGAGATTATCACAACACTGGAGGAGCCGCTTATGTGTGAAGAGACAGACCGCGAGGGGCGGGGACTGGAAAATAAATGGATTTATGTTGTTCTCTTGTTTGTCATTATCGGTGGGCAGTGCTAGGCTTAACGCACAGTCGCTTTGCATTTTTTAAATTTAAATTATGATGCATTTATATTTTACATCATATGAAAATGACCTGGGTTGTTGTTCCTGCTGCTACTCGCCAGGTAAACAGCAACGACTCCACCTGAAATGAATTAAAAGACTAACCTGGATGCTGCACGCACGGCACGGAACCGGAGGCTCCTTGCATGTGAAGCTAATGCTTTTTATTATGTGTGGAAAATCGATCCGTAATGGGCACGGCGGCATATTGTCAGACAGGACACCGTGTCTCACACGACTCGCAGCCCATTTTTTTTCTTGGATCGTGATAAAATGCAGAGTTTACGCAGGACCTCCATTAATAGCATACTTATCATTAAATAAAATTACTAGCGGGCCTGTAGAGTAGCGTGAGAGACGTCTGCGGGGGGGGGGGGAGAAAAAAATGGCTCCATGTCTTATTGCACAAATTACAAAATTTGATCATAGTTGTAGCGGGCGACATACATGCAATTGATTCAATAGAGAAGTTAAGTAATTTCTCCAGTCTGTGTGTCGCTTCTTTTGATGTTTGTCTGCACATATTTGTGCGGTCAGAGATGGGACCTCACGTGCCGCCGTTTAAGAAGTTTAAGAAAAACCTCCCGTTAACTTTCCCGTCGTGTCGCACATTTTCTGGGATAAGGTATCAGTGTTACGGCTTTATTTTAATCTAAATGGTGCTTCTGCTGCTCCTAATGGTTCAGACGAAATCTACTGTGATGCGCCTGCGCTGACCTCCCTTCCACAAGTGACCGAGTTTAGTATTTATGATGCATTTTTCCTGCTTCCTTCAGTCCGCTGCTAGACGTGCAGGCACCTGCTGTGCAAACTGCCAGACCACCACCACCACCCTTTGGAGGCGCAACGGGAACGGAGATCCGGTGTGCAACGCCTGCGGCCTTTACTTTAAACTGCACAATGTAAGTAGCTTCGGGAGGGGGGGGGAGAGAAAAATGAGTGTGGGGTTTGGGATGGAAGGAGGAGGGGAGGGCTGCTGGTCCTTAACTGGTTAAGTGGGCGGACAGCTCGTATCGATTTAGGAGCACAGAAAGTGAGAGTGGGGAGGCAAAGCCTGCTCACACTGTCGAGCAGAACCCACCGGGCGGCTTTTTTATTAAACCATCGTTGTTTCAATGGGGGGCGTTACTCCCCAGAGAGGCTGCCGGGTGGGACTGTCATTCAGTGTAACGGCGTCGGTTACACTGATGAGGATTTGTCTGCTGGCTACTCCTTTCAGAGCCCAGCCTGGTCCTCATCCCGGTGTATTCATTAATGAGCACTGTGGTTCTGTTTGGTTTGGACAATTAAACAAAAGATTAAAAAAACCCACACGCCCCTGACTCGCTTTATAATGGAGCTATATATGCAAAACAGCTGCTCATTATTTATAGCCTTTTATGAATAACGCTGAGGTTATTCATAAAAGGCTATTGGGATAGTAAAAAAACAGTAAACATGCAACATGTGACATATTTCTGCTAAGATTTAAAATAAAGAGGCTGTAAAGGAGCTGTGACAGTAACCTAAACCTAAATGTCTACAATGCTGTATTCACACTGTCAGTGGTGCTTTTGTTCGCCACGCCTGAGCTAATGTGCCGCTCTTCTGCTCTTCACAGGTCAACAGACCTCTGACCATGAAGAAAGAAGGCATCCAGACACGCAACCGCAAGATGTCCAGCAAGTCCAAGAGGAACAAACGATCAGGGGACGGCTTTGACGAGCTCTCCAAATGCATGCAGGACAAGGCCTCTCCCTTTGGTGGTGCGCCTGGCCTCGCCAGTCACATGACCCACATGGGTCACCTGCCCCCCTTCAGCCACTCGGGACACATGCTGCCAACGCCCACGCCCATTCACCCTTCATTCGGTCACCCCCACCACTCCAATCGCTCGCCGGTCTGGGCGGAGCCTCACTGAGGCCTTTTCAGACCCAGAGCCCCCCTTCGCCATCACATCGCCATAAACACTAAATGGCCTCCTGAGTCACGACAGCTGAGCAGCCTTGTTTCGTGTACAGTGGTTGTAGGGAAAAGACTTTCAGTCGGACTTGATGACTTATGGCTGCGTCACGGCTGACTTCACAGATGAGCCGCTGCGGAGAGCGAGACTTAAGTGGACTCTGTAAAGAGCTAATGTGAGGAGGGGTTCGTTGGGTGACAGGGGATAGCAGGATTGGAGATGTTTGTCATTCTTTTTTTGCTTATTTTTTACTAAGTCACTTTGGTACCCACCTCTCCTTGATCCTGCACCAGGAAACTCATGAGAGGGCTTAAAAAGAACCGCTGTTTTCACCTCACGACCATCTCATTATATACTGAGACACACGCGCCCTGTCCATCCCCAGGCTGTCGTTCACGACTGCTCCTCAGTGCTGGAAGTTTTCAGTACACCCCAAAACCAGTGCCCCTCTAACATGCTGGATTGTACACACCACCTGTTTTTGATAACAGAGTTTTATGAAAACAAAGCAAACAAACAAACAAAAAAAACGCAGTAAATAGAGTGTTTATAAATGCTTAATTGCTATTATTGTTGTTATATTGTTATAATTATTGCTACGATAATTTATTTTCACTCTTTAAGCTTTTGTCCAACACACAGAAAACGTCTGATTTTAATTTTGTGGTTATTATGTAAAGAAAACACTGACCTGTCTTAGATGAAAAAGTCCCTGAGCTGTACGTTTTTATCATTTTTCCATCTCACACAGAAAAGGAAATAAAGTTTAATACTGAGGTAAGATCTGTCTCTATCCTTATACGCTGCACACATTCCAACTGACAAAGGGCAGTAAAGAAAAGAAAAACAGCGTGACCACTCCTTGCCTTTAAAAAAACCCAACTTCTATACCTGAGCCCAGCTTGTTTTTAAACTACTCCTGCTATGTTGGTGGATTTCTCATTGTGATTCTGTTTGTTTAAGGTTTGATAATGTACCTCTTTGATAGAACACATCATGTGTCTGAAGTGTTTTCACAGTAATGTGCACACAGACAGACATTATGGCCTGAACGGTCCTTTTAATGAAGACTGCTTGATTATTAAAATCATAAGTGATATCAGATGTATCAAGGGAAGCTCTGTGATCCCTTAAGCGTGGTAATGCTTTGGTCAGGCTCCTCCTCTATCTGTGATGGCTCGTTGTTAAGAAAAGGCCTCTTTGTGGAGTTAAAGCCCCGGGCTGGACCATTGTACCCAGACAGCAGGCTCCAACCAAGGGCTCCCAAGTCATACAGTCATACATATGCACAGACCCACATGCTCTCACACAAATGCAAACCCTAATTCACACCTAATTTAACCAAGTAATACATGCAAGGTCTCCTTCTTCTTTACTTTTTAAAAAAAATCTCTAACAGCCAAATTCTTGATGAATTTGCATGTGAAAAATACTGAGTCATGAGTTCAGTTCAGCAGGAGCTGCTCTTGCTCCCCGCGTCTGTCGGAGTAGCCCTCTCTCTCTCTGCCTCGGCCAGGGTGATTGGAGTGAGAGGAAGGACAGTGGGTCTTTAGTGGGAGAGAGAAGAGGAAGGAAAGGCAATCAGGCGACCTGAGCAAACACATGGGGGTCTGCTTGAACCCTTCGCACACAGATGTGCTCGCAGCTGAGGCTGCCAGGAAGCAGGCGTCAGCTCTGTTTCTCCCTCATCTCCTCCTCTTTTTCTTTCTCTTTTGTTTATCTTTTTTTCACTCTCCCTCTTCGTGCTCTCTCATTATTTTCTGTTTGTCTTCTATTCTTCCCTCCGCGCTTGTCGTTCTGCTTCTTCCCTCCCATTTGGACGATTACAGTAAAATAACGGGGCTGGAGAAACTTTGAACAGAGCCAGCCGCTAATGAGTCTGCTCGATTAGGGCCAATTTGAGGTCATCATCGCTGAGTTCAGCATGCCCTCACACACCCACAGCACAAACCATCCGATTAAACGGTCTACGGTGAAATCAGACAACTACCCCTCCCTGAACCCTCCACCCTCCTCACATCTGCTGGACTGCTGCAGAGGTTGATCTGCTGGGGTTTCCCAGAGTCTTGATCCGTTCACATTGAAAATAATATTTATCCAGGCTTTACATCCAGGCTTTACATCCAGTTATTTGCTATCCAGTGAAGCTGGAAGGCTCTGTGGTTAGCTTATGCTACATTGTAGCAAACTCCCAACACTGACTGGCTCGACATGCATGAACACAGCACTGAAGGACTGCATGTGAATGTCTGTTTTCACTGAGGGGGTGGGATCATCTTGATCCACTTGCTGAACGTAAGTGAAAACGTAACGCTCCACTGCCAGCAAGCAGCCTAGCATCTGTGTGTAGCACAGTGTTTTTGGAGCTGGGCCTCGCACGGGCCACGACTCCAGCGAGTTGTGCACCGCTATAGTCAGCGAGCCTGCTCGGCCGGGCTTGGCCAGACTCCCGGACTGAGAGAGGGAGACGGAGAGAGCCAGCTCTCCTCAATGAGGCCCTCCAGAGGGAAGGAGAAGCTCTCCCAAAAATAATACCAGAGTCTGCCAGGCCAGCAGCTCGCAAGCACATATGCAGACATGAACATGCAAGTGCACATGCATACAAGGTTGGTGTGGTGTGTGACCAAGCATCATAAACCTGGTGTGCATATTTGTAGGAAGCAGGCCTACATTTTAACTCACATGCCTCACAAGGGTTAGGTAGCATTAGGTAGCGGGCACAAGGCACGCACGCTTGCACATGAAATGACTTCTGGGTGAAGTATTTCAGTGTCTGCGTGTGCCACTCCTGCTCAATTTTCTACCCCATTAAATTGATTCAGTTTCTGCAACAAGAGGGTTTTGTATCCTTTTTACTCACTAGGTCTCACCAAACCAACAGCTACATTGAAGAAGACATCTCCTTCTAACTCACATCCTGAGTTATGTGACACAAAAAAGAAAAAAAAAGCTGTAAAATAGGATGTTACTTATCTTCCCTATCAGAGTGGCATTCCATAGAGGAGATGAAGAGGAGAGATCTCAGATGCGTTGGCGGGGTTGAACATGGTGGCCACCTAGATCAGAGCACCGAGAGGTTTACGACTTCAACCTGGAACTGGATGTTTCAACTCATCTCGACTCCCTGCCTCCTTCTCCCCTCCGCTCTTCCGCTTGTACTCAACCTCCCTCGCCACCATCCCCACCACCACTCATTCCCCCCCTGCGCTCGCATATAACTAACCATCTCTTCATTTCCCCCCCACTCCATCCCCCTACTACTCCCACTTTCTTCTTGTCTCCCACTCCTCCAGCGTATTTGTTTTTCCATCAAATTGAATTAGCGGAATCAAAAGGTATCCCGACCATCCCCTCGCAAAGTTGAGTTAGGGAGAGAGAGACGTAGAAGATGAAAGGAAGTGCAGTGCAGTTCAAATGCAGGTCTCCCAATGTGTGTGTGTTGCAATGGGGGTTGACCTTTGCCTGGGCCTAGCTAAAAAAGCATCCCTCCTTCCTCAGACCCCTATAAGGATATTAAGACTGCTAGTCAGGACAGTATTTAGATAATACAAACACAGGGCATTTATTCATGCCTTGGGTCGCTATAAAGTTCCCCAAGTAGTTCATTTGTGGAGTCAAAAACAGAACTTAAGTCATGCTATGATGAAGCATTAACTGAGCTTTTAGCTGTTTGAACTGTAATGGTTATCAAGTTAGCGTTTGAGCTATATAAAGAGGCCGACACGTGAACTTCCTCTTTTCACGGATCAAGAGAAATTCATAGAAATACCCGTCTGACTGAGCCTGACAGGAAAAAGGTGTGTATGTTCAGTAAAGCACCTGGTGAACACTATTCATGGAAACCTCTACTGATACACACCATTTGTCACTCGAGCAACTCTTCTAAGATTAATCAAGTATAGCACGTAGCAATGATGTGATGAGCGGGGCTCTGACAGTCATAGCTGTCACTCAGAGAGCGATCCAGAGCTGACAGGAGATTATCTGCGATGACCTCTGCTGACAGGAAACTACCGCATCCTGACCCGCTAGAACACCAAATCTCACCAATGATCTCTCCATGTGTCGAAAATTATTCAGAAGAAGTGTTTTGATCTTGGATAATCTTTCACTTTTTTATGACCTTCAGGGCCCTTGACACTTTATTTTCTTCCCCTTCGCGCTGAGCACTGAAAGGCCACCAGCTAGTGACAGCTGCATACCAAGCTTGACTGAGGACACAGCTTTTTCAAAGCACTGAAAAAAAAGAAAAACAGGAAGCGAGAAGTTCAAACAGGAAATACTTCTGTTGTACTATTAAGACCAATTAAGACCACAGAGGTCTGAGAGAGACAGCGAAAAAAGAGATTGATTACAAGGGATGCGTGGTTGTACAGTATTTAAGAGTAAGTCCGTGCAAAGTTTCATGCTTCAGGGCAGCGTTTGTGGTATGAGTACCTAATGCTAAAAATCACTCTGCCACTGACTTTAGAAAAATGTTCACTATTTGCTGAATTTTTTGAGGTCGGGACAATTTTGTCCCACAAACTATATCAGGGCATGAGAGCCAACCACACAACTCTTCTATATGTAATATATATTTCTTGATTACCCAAGATCATGTTACATCATTTGAATCACCTCAAATAGGCCTTACAGTATAAGAGTTAAAGAAAAAACAAGTGTGTAAATAAAAAGGTAAAATGTTTTAACCCCAGGAGACTATTTCGTGATTTATTTGGTCAGCATCAGTAAGTTTGGATAGCTTGTTAATATGAAACTTGAAAAGTGAAAGAGGGAAATAAAACCCCCCTTACTGTCATAGTTTGTGGTTAACGAAAAGGTTTCTGGGAGTGGTGCTCTAATACTGAAAGACGTTTCTGAATTATGCATTCAGTTATAGTTCTTTTCCGCTTCCCACATCGTACTCCACAATGCTTATTTGTCCTACTCTGGGGGAGTCGCTTCCATGCTAAAACACAGCAGATACAAAATTCCTACACCTTCCAGCTCTCCTAACCACAGGAAGTTTGTTGCGATTCAGCCTGAGACCTTAATAAATTAGCATCAGTCATCCAACTGCTGAACTCTTTTGCACCGATGCGTTCATCCTTTGTGTGTAATTTGTCTGTAACCCGCTGAGAAGTCCATGTTGGAAGCAGGGTGTGGACATGCAGAGCACCCTTCCCTCAGCTCACCCTGAAAAACGAGGTCAGCCTCCTCACACCTGGGACAGGGAGCATTCAGGATGTTCACCTGGGACAGGTAGTGTTCACGTTCTCATTCATGCTGTGTTATGCTGCACTAAGGCCCTCCTGCTCACCTGCTCCAACAGGCAAAATTCATCCCCACTGTCTGAGGACAAATGAGCCCATTCATCTGCAGGCTCCCATTGACAAACTGGTGGGCAAGTACAGTACAAATACCTCGGAGGGCTCAGGGGAGTGGGCGTCTGGACCTGCCATCCTCTTCCGCACCCATATAATGTCCCACACCATTCCCAGCCCCGGTCCCGCTCCTCTCGCTTTCATTCACAGGTAACTGGAGAAAGCTTCGAGTGGGGGAGTTGAGGGCATCCTGGAACAAAGCCAGGAGTGAACGGATAGGACCCAGGTGCCTACCCCTGGATGGATCCTCTGGACACTCCCACTGGAAAATGATGACCAGACAGAGAACAGGAGGACAGTAGAAGCCCACAGAGACCTGATGTGCCAAGCTCAGACTCCCAAGCTGTTCAAGTCGCTATTGTAGGCCAACGATAGTTGCTTGTGAGGTGGATTAAGTGACAGAGCTGCTCTGTGG